TCTTAACTTTACTTTTTAAGTTTGAATACACTTGGATTTTCTTCATGAGTATAAACAATCTGGTCACATTGAATAATCACTAACAATACTGCATGGAATAGTTTTCAAGTCTGTATTTTGTCCTTGCACAAGGGTTTAAATGTGCCTTGCACATAGCCAGGCACGGTGGTACATACATATTTCTCATCTCGGCATCCAGGAGGTAGAAGCAGGTGGATCTTTGAGTTTGAGACCAGTCTGGTCTACAGAGCAAGTTCCAGGACAGCAAGGATTACCTAAAGAGATCCTTATCTCAATTTTTTAAATCAATAAATAATAAAAATAAATGGATTTTACTTTTTTAAGCTTTTGGAAAAATTAAGAGGCTAGGGTTCTCAAGTAGCCAGCCCCATGTATAATTTCTCCAATATTAACATACATTTGTTCACATTAATGAGCCAATGCTGATGTAATAAAGATATGCATTATTATTTATTCTGCATTTTACCAAGTTTCTCAAGTATTTACTTACTATTGTTTTTCTGCCCCAGGAACCTGTTGTCCTTTTTAAATTGTTGCTGCCTTTTCTGTAACTCCTGCTACCAGCAGCAGTCACAGCCTGAGGGAATTCTGTTTCCCCAGGCTCCAACTCTTTCAAAGCTATCAAGGGAACTTAACTAAATCCCTGTCTGTCCCTGTAAAGAATTCAAGATTCAGTGGTTGAGGTGGAATTATGCTCCTCAGAGAGGCTGAATAGCAAGTAGCTCACCTCCTCTCCTTGCTCGCTTCCTCCAAAAAGCCCTCATGTGTCTCCTAACCCATCCTTAAAAACCCTTCTCCCCCTGGCTCCTCTCTATCACTTCCTGTCAGCTAGTTGCTGGTGCAGCCTCCTGACTGCAGGTGAATTTTATTTAATTAATCATATCTTTGCATAATTAAACAAATGTTCCAGAACATAAACAAAAGTAACACACCTTAAAGTAATATTCTACAACAAGAACCCATCTAGGATACCACAGTACATGTAGTAATCATACTCTCTTAGATTCATCTTGTCTGTGATAGTATCTAGGATACCACAGTACATGTAGTTATCATTCTCTCTTAGATTCATCATATCTGTGATAGTATCCAAGACTTTCCTTGTCTTGGGTACCACTGACAGTTTTGACTACTACTGGAAGAGGGCATTGTAAGCTACTCTTCTGTTGAAATATGTCTGGCGTTTCCCTCCTGAGTCAGACTGGGTTTCTGTGGGTTTCAGGACTGAATGTTGTTTTAGCATATGCTGACATACCACTGATCTAGAGGAAAAACATTTCCAAGTGTCTCTTGTTTATTGCATACTATCAAAATGCCTGCAGTGCTCCTGAGAAGGCCAAGACAGAGCTCATCCATGGAGTGACCACTTTGCTCTGCATGGAAAGCTCTCATTAGGAACCAGAGCAAGACTGTCTCAGCAGGGCTTCCCTGGCCATTCTGCTGGATGCCTAGGCCCCTGATTTGATGTTGCTGCTCTTCTGTGCTCTCTAAGAGGCTCTAATCCTTTCTGACAGATGTTGTAAGCTGATCTTTCTCTATTTGCTGTTTGCTGTCTACCACTTGTTATTTGTTATTTTACTTTCGCTTGCTAAGTACATAATAAACTCATTCATTTCAGACTGAAAGTATGACTTTTGCAATCCAGTCTCCGTATAGAATGGTGAAATTGTTCAGAGTTTCTGAGATGCTCCAATGGAAAGGCCTTCCCTCCTCAGCAGTTTCACTTGATAGGTATTGCCATGGGTAGCAAACAGGTATATACCCCTCATTTAAGGTTCTCCCCGTTGTTGTTGTTGTTTTTCCTGTAAATGTGGTCTTAAAAAAACATTAAATTGCCCCTAATTGGATGTAGGCTAGAGGTACATCAGAATGTATGCTTGACCCTGATTGGACCTGATGGGAAATGTGATGAATTATGGGTTTTCCTTCTTAACCTGCTGCAAATTGTGATTCTGGGCCATTTTCCTGGAACCTGGGTATGGACCTGGCTAGAGCCCATCCACTTGGCTAGTATTTAATTAACACTTGCTTCAGATTTTGCTTTCAAAAATGTTTAATTTTGTACTCTAAAAAATTAATATTCTATTTTGTGGCTCAGAATGTTCCAGGTTTAGCCATTGGGCCATAGCGGGCTGTTTCAGTTGTTTGTTGTGTTCCTGTTAGCAGCCCCTTCCTTCTGGTGGTACCCTTGGTAGTCTAGGCCCATCATTGCTACTTTTTCCTTGCTTACAGAGTTACCTATTCCCAACAAAGACTTTTAAGGACTGGCCTTAAAGCCTTCTTCCAGGGTTTGAGAAAGGCACTACAACAAGCGAGGAAAAACTAATATCTGCTCACACCATACTTCGTTGCATGTCTCTTTTATTCTTCTGCTTTTCTCCTAATTTTCTTGGCCTAATTGTCTAGAATTTCTTAACTCTAATTCTCTGTTCTCATCTTCCTGCTTCTTTTCATCTAGCCCAATACTTCTTCTTTCACAGGAGGCTTTAAGCAATAGAAAAAGTTACAAGAGTTGCCTCTCATTGGTCAAAAGCACATTCCTAGGGTAAGCGATAAGGGCATTTACCATAGCAATGTAACGTTCCAAGGTTATAGGAGTAAGACTGACCAGACCTGAGGGTGGGAGGGCACAGTGCCCAGTGACGAATTTTGAGACATAGGTCTATTGTCAGCAGACTTGGCAAGCGAAGAATTGGCAGGCTTTTTGTGGGGTTCTTTGTAACCTGCTTATTTTCATCTTTGTAACCTTAGTAAAACATCTGCGACTCTGACTTGTACATAACTGTAAAGTTTTAAACTTATGATCTATTTACAAAGGCCTTTAGTCTAGTTTGAACTTCCTCTAAGGTAAAAATGAGCTAAATGTGTGCAGTTAGTCTTAGACTGATGAGAAATTGTTATTTTCTTGTATTAGTCTGATTAAAAGGAACAAAGCAGGCTTTAAGTGTCTATAATCCACATGGGACAACAGATCTAGCTATGAAGAATTTGCAAGTATATTTTATATATATATAAAATATATATATATAAATTGTACAGCTAAGGAAAAGTCATCTTTCTGACCATCCATAGATATATGTGTGCCCATAAGACTGAGATACAACCATGAGGTTACAAGTGCACTGTTGCTGGAGGGCTTCTCTCCAGGTTCCCCAAGCCCCGCAGTCCCACAATCCACTTATAAAATAATCACTCAGACGCTTATATCACTTATAAACTGTATGGCCGTGGCAGGCTTCTTGCTAACTGTTCTTTTATCTTAAATTAACCCATTTTTATAAATCTATACCTTGCCACATGGCTGGTGGCTTACCGGCGTCTTCACATCCTGCTTGTCCTGGCGGTGGCTGCAGTGTCTCCCCCTCAGCCTTCCACTTCCCAGAATTCTCCTCTCTCCTTGTCCCACCTACTTCCTGCCTGGCAACCTACTTCCTGCCTGGTCACTGGCCATCAGTGTTTTATTTATATAGAATGATATCCACAGCAGTGCACATTTCATGAAAATGCATTGTAATGGGGAGATATCATAGCTGTTATTGTATAAGAAATTACAGATGAAAGCAACAGTATTCAGAGTCAATGGACTGCAAGCCATGCTCGAAAGGGTACCCCATCTCAGAATCATTCCTCTGGTGGGTCGATATCTGAATTATCAATTTCTATAAGCTGTATTTGCATCCTGGCCCTCAGTAGCTCATGACAATGGCTCCTGGCATGTTCCTCCAGAGCCAGTGCCCATCTATGTAGCAGAAGACAGCTCTCCTTTCTTAACATTGAACTTATGTTCACTAGTCCTTAATGTTCAAAAGCTCTCTTTGTTTCAGCCCATGGTTGATCATTTGACCTCATCTTTATTTTCATGTCATAAACTTGCATCTATGCAATTTATGACCTATCAGTTTCTGTATATCAGTGGTTGGGACTTTGTCATCATCTTTTGAAGAATAATGGTGAATTTATATTTTTCTTTGTTCTTTAAAATTGAGTATATTATATGTTTTTATGGATAAATGAAAATTTTCTGTTGCCATTTTACCTGAAACCCTGAAATTTTGTGTACAAATTAGGGTATTGATAGAAAAATTGTAGTCTTTGTAAGATAATGAGGGAATTTATATATGTGTGTGTGTGTATTTTAAAAAAAAAAACCTTTTTGTCTACTCCAGGAACAACATTAATGTAACAACTTAAGAAAATCTTAGAATAAGAGTGTTAATTTTTTGTCTTTGTTTTTAAGGATTCTTTGAACTTTATGAATGATGAGAGGAATTGTCCATGGTTCAGTATATGAGTAGCACAGAGCTGCCTCATGTAGGGATATGCATGTGGACATGCTCCTGTGTACACTGTTCAGACCTGTTTGGTTTCTTCTTGAACTTGGCTTGTTTTCCTTCTAGAGAAGTACAGACACTAACATTCCCCACGTTTTTGTATGGTATTGTGTGAATACTATAAACATAGTTGGTAGAGTTTGTGAGAATACGCACATGGTTTTACATTAGAAAGTTCAAAGTAAGGTGGGATGGCATGAAAATAGTAGCACGAAGGAGTGGGAATGAGTGTGATAACTTACCCTGGCACCCCTGAGTGACAGCAGTTCCTAAAAATGGAAGAAGGATAATGTGAAACCAGCAGCCAGCAGAGTCCATCATGTCAATAAGTGGTGGATCTTTCTTAAGGTTGAGAATTCATATTAAAAGTATTTTATCTCCTGCAAAAAAAAAAAAAAAAAGTTTACTCTTCTTTTTCTGTGAACTGCTTTCATGATACATTCCTCTGAGAAATGATGTGAGAGAGGTAGACATTTTAAACAATGTAAGTCTTGATGATACATGAGCTCCCTAAAAAGGAAGGTATGCAATGAGTAACTGTCATTGCTGTCCCACTTTATGTTCATGGAGCTTTTGATACAGACCCAGATGATGGGTGCGGGTTCATTTCATCTGAATGTGTGCTTTACCCTTTTTCTTTTCTCTTAGGAAATTTGAAATACTGCCTTGTGGTTCTTAATCAGCCTTTGGACACACGCTTTCGTCATCTTTGGAAAAAAGGTAATCTTAGTTAGCATTTAATTGTCTTTGAGACTGAATAAACTGGTTGACAGCCAATTCCATTCTCATATTCTCTCTCTCTCTCTCTCTCTCTCTCTCTCTCTCTCTCTCTCTCTCTCAGAAACAAACAGGCAAACAAACAAATGAGAATAGAAAAACACATCAAATTCAACCCATAAAAGCACAAAACCAGAAAGTGTGATATATGAAAAATGACAAACAGGACAAAAACATGCCCCAACAAAGCAATATGAGACAAAAAGTCTACAGAAATACCATTGGGTTCGTTTTGCATTAGCTATTTACTGCTGGGCATGGGACCTACATAAGTGTGATTAATACACCAGTGAGACTCCATTGGCAAAAGATTGTTTTTCCTTTGTGAGCAGATGCCAGTTGAAGATAGCTTCTTGGTTAGGGATGGAAACTTGTGTCTACTTACCCCTCTCAGTGCTGGGACCCCATCTGGCTTAAACTGTACAGGCCCTGTGCATTCTTTCTTTTCTTTTCAATCTTAAAAGATTAAAATATATTTGCATCCATTCTCCCCTTCCTTTTCCTACCTTCAGCCTCTCCCAAGCCAACTTCCTCTCCAATTCATGGCTTCTTTTTCTTTATTGCATATTGAATCCCAGCCCACTATAGTGGACATTGTTCCGCTCTCAGGCCATTGCCACAGCCTTTATCATGGCATTGACTCCTTATATTAGATCCTAGTAGCCTGGCCTGGCTTCCTTCTGAAACTCTCAAAGGGTATCCACTAAGGTTCTTCTGTCCAGGTACGTTTTTCTTTCAGTCTTTGTCTGCTGAAGGATTCTCAGAGGAGCTCTGAGGGGTTAGTCCGGGTCATATCTCAAAGGAACTTCCTGGGAACTGCTCACACCTGTTCTCTTTCTCTCAGTTGGGACCTTCAGCCTCAGGAGGAGGTAGCAGTACTACTTCTTCAGCTCAGATGTACACAGCTAGACACTTGGGAACTTTCGGTCTCTGAGTTCTTTGCATCAGAACTGGTACTGCACGTTGCATGTGGTGGATGATCAGAGAGCTCTTTGTTACTTAGACCTTTTTGCTCTTGCATACCTGCATCATATCAGCTGGCATCTCATCTGTCTTTTCCTCAATCTGTGTCATCCCTTGCTTTTGTGTATCTTTGTGTTTCTGACTATCCGTGCAGTGGAAGTGATTGCTTAATATAAGTGATTGCTTAATATAAGTCCAGAATCATTATTGTTTTCATTTAGTTACCTATTCCCAATAGTAGTTTACACTTAATTTAACTGCTACCAAATCATGATTCTGTACCATAGCTTTGCAATATTATATTAATTTAGTAAAAGTTAAACCATGTAAATTCAAAGTCCAAGAGCTAGTATCTTAAGAAATATTATACTTAACATTATATAGTAGATTCAAAGCTGATTTTTTTTTTTTAGGGAACAAAGATATTTTTAGGGAAACCAATTTGTTTGTTTGCTTAGCAATAAAAAGGACAATGTTCGGAAATAAAGAACTCCACAGAGTTGTCCTCTGATCTCCACATGTGTACTGTGGTATGTATCCTCCCCATTTAATGAGCAAATAAGCAATTAATGGCCACTGAGGGAGTAAGAATCAGTTTTCTCTAGGGACAAGTTCCCTGATAGATTATATAGTCTTAAATGGTCAGCCTTAGCATATGTACATATAAGTAATAAGTACAGAAGAATCAGGATATAAATATAGTATACTTGTGTATATATAAAATTCTCAAAAATTAAAGTAATACAATATTTTAGGAAAATGTATTCAAAAAGTGCATTGTATTTCAGAGGTTACTATTAAGAGAGTGAAAGGTCAAGCCACATATAGAAAGAATTACATGCTAACTTTGATTCTGAATGGGACTGTGTCTCAGTTACTTTTCTGTTGCTGTGACCTAGGCAATTTATAGAAGAAAGAGGTTATTGAGGACTTACAGTTTCAGAAGGTGAGTCCATGACCATAATGGCAGGGAGCATGGGAGCACACAGGTAGACATGGCGCTGGAGCAATAGGAGATAGTTAAGAGCTCACATCTTGAGACAGTAACCACAGGCACACACACACACACACACACACACACACACACACACACACACACACAGAGAGAGAGAGAGAGAGAGACAGAGACAGAGACACAGAGACAGAGAGAGCTAACTGGGAATGGTGTGGGCTTTGAAACCTCAGAGCCCACGCCCAGTGTTACAGCTCCTCCAACTGGACATAATCCTTCCTAGTAATCTTAGTATCCTAGTAATCCTTCCAAGCAATTCTACCAACTGGGGACCCAGTATTCAAATTATGAACAAAGGGGGCCATTTCATTCAAACTGCCACATATGGACACATGCCTGGAGCATATGCAGAACTCTTATAGTTAAATAATGAAAGCAAGAAGTGTCCCAATTAAAAGGACAAAAACTAGACAAAGGATCTGAATAGACATTTTCCATGGAAAATATGCAAACTCCCAAGATGCACATGCCCATGGAAAGATGCTCACCATCATGGAAATCTGAATGGCAATGAGATACCATGTCACACATACTAAATTCTGTTGAGAAAAAGAGTTGGGGATTGTTAAAAAAAAACGACAACCCAGATACACTGCTGATAGGAATGTCAGTGGTAGAGTAACTTTTGAAAACCACTTGAAAGTTCCTCGGAGTTACCACTTAACCTATTTCTACTCCAAGATTCAAGCTCAAGAGAAATAAGAGTACAATATTATTCAATTACAATAGAAGAATGAGACACTGATATGTTACAAAATCAATGAACCTTGAACATAGTGGTCTAAGTGAGGGGATTCAGGCACAAAAGACAACATCTTACAGCTCAGTTACAATTAAATACCCAAACTGTCAAATCTATAGACATAGATAGATTCATGCATGCTCAATACTGAGGAGTGGTGAGTTAGGGAGTTATTTGAAGTTGCGTACTCTCATGTTAATAAAATGTTTGCAAGTCAATTTTATAGTAGTTGCACAACTGTGAATTGCTAAAAAGATGAATCATATGATTAAGTGTGTTGTATTTGTATATGAATTATATTTCAGTAGGGTATTCAAAAAACAGCAATAGGCAGTAAAGCATGGTGTAATCTCTTCTAGTCTTTCATAACAATGAGATGCTCATTTCCTTGTGAAATTTAACATATAAAGATATGAAGATTCTGTCTTCATTTTTGGAAATATTATGCATCAAGTTTCTCAAATCTACCATGTGGTCATAACACAGAATTTTGGACTAAACTGATCACAAATCCATATTTCTAAAAGATTTGCTTGCTGAGTTTTATCTATCTATCTATCTATCTATCTATCTATCTATCTATCTATCTATCATCTATCTATCTATTCATTTATTAAACAAGACTGTTCTGGTATACTTTAAGAACCAGTGCTTCACTTTCTGTTTTTTTTTTTGGAGCTGAGGATCAAACCCAGGGCCTTTAGTGTTTTACCACTGAGCTAAATCCCCAACCAAAGAAACCAATAAACAAACAAATAAATAAATAAATGAAAAAAATAATAATAAAAATCAAATAAGAAACATTAAAAATTAAGAACCAGTGCTTTAAATTTTAGGTGGACATCATTTTATTTTATAATTATTATTTTAAGTACAACTCTTACTAGCTGATAAGATAATGCCTTGATAGGCTTAGATTATAGCTCAACTTAAATTCCATAAAACACCATATGTTATCTGTCTCTTACATCAGAGAAAATAACATTTATAATTTATATAATTTGAAATATTCCCTTTCTTTTTCTGAATACTTCCTTTATGCTATCTACATATAAAAGTTGGTGTTTTGGTGGCAGATTTTATTTACTCTCTAGCAGTCAAATCTTGGGTCTCTATAACATTTACAGTAAGCAGTTACTTCTTTGTGAATATGTCTTGGAACACTAGAAAGTCTAGTGCATGAAATAAAATACTTGGTACAGAAGAAGATCACACTTTTTTTTCATAGCATGATAGATTTAGGAAACTAGATAGAAATGCCTGTCATACTGTTTTTTGTGTACTTTCTGGTTCTTAATATTTATTGTTTTAATTCTCAGATCAAAGAATGACTTTAGTTTAATTAGAACATTCTTGTTTGATATATTTTTTACTAAGGGTAAGCTTTCCATGGAAGAGTGTGAGAGGCATTCATTATGAGCATTAAAATCTTAATTAAAGAAACTGAATTCTGAAGGAATTTATCTTCTTGATTTAAACAAGCAAGCAAAATGTTTCAAGAAAAGGAAATATCCTTAGGAGCCTGCCACTACAAAGTCCTTAAGCCTCTTGTCTGATGTTATGCTGTGAATTAGTGATCATTCAAAATGCTTATTAAATTACTAAGTAAATGAGCTGTGGATCTTGCGGATCTGGGATTACACAGGCCGAAAGACAAAATCCTTTCCTTGAATGGGTTTACAGTCTATGGAGTGAGTCCATAAGGATTTATACAGCACTTGGGACTTTATCAATGAATTGGCCAGTGTTATTGAAAGGGAGTTTGAGAGGCAGGGAAGGAAGGCTCCACCCTTAAGCATTTATAATCTGTAATGCAAATGGGATCCAGCACAAGACATAAACCCCTATATTCCAGCAGTGTTGTGTAATGGTATCTATGGACTGCTAGAATTCTAAGAGGGACTTTGGGGATGGAGACCTATATGGATACACACACATCAGGTGTCCAGTTGAAAACTTCAGTAGGCAGAAATGCCATTTCTGATAATGAATTGGAAGGAAATCAAAAGTGATATTTCAAGAACAAAAAGGAAATAAAGAAAAAACAAAACCACTAGTGAGATGCAGAGTTCTTTATTTTATTATGCAATGTGGAAGGGAACAGCTGCTGTGTACCAAAGTTAGGAATCCTGACTGATGCTGGCCACAATAGTGCCCTCTCTTTCCTGTTGTATTATAAGGGACATTTCACCTTAGGCTTTGGCTGGCATCACAAGTTTGGGGACT